ACTCCATTCACTTGCTGCGCGGCATGCCGAACTTCATGAAGACCGGGAGTGCAGTTTCTTCTGTCTTTTAGAATGATTTGGGTAAGCGTGTCTTTCATGCAAAGTGCTGTGTTGTAGATAGACTGCATCTCAACTTTATTGGACGTTATAGCGCCGTTCCTCTTCTTCAGCGCTGTTATGGTCAATCGGTAAAACATTTCGACTAACTCTTTCTTGCATTGTCTTTGACTTATTCGGTCTTCGGCTGCTTTCTCAAATTTACGGAATGGAAAAGTCTTGAAGTCCTCCTTTAACTGCTTTCTAATAAATTGCGAAGAATGAAGTACTCTACCATATAGACCCTGTATCTTTTTTCTCCCTTCGCTTCTCTAGCGAACTCTTGAGATCGTTGCTTTTGAGTGACCTCTGTTGACCTTTCGTAGCAACTCAGTTTACAGGCAGACTTCTCATAGTTATCGTGGCAGGTGCCACCAATGATCCAGTGTTCGCTGGAAATGTGCACTTGGAGCGCACCGTTTCTTTGAATACCTTCGGTCGTTGTCCGCGATTTGCCATAGGCATTGCCCTCCTCTCGATATTCTCCTGTACTCTTGACCTGGACTGCATCAATCTGTGGTCACTACCAGTTTTCAGTAATTGCATTACTGTTATATTTTAAATAATCTGGCGTATATCGAACGAAGTTGATCTTCGTCGCTGCATTCGGCATGATCCCCTCCTAATAATCTTCTTCTTGAACTAGGTGTTGCCACCGTACGCGTTTCGCTTTTACGAAGGTCATTTGCCGATCTCCTCGCTCTCCTGTGTTATACCTACAGACAAAGTTTTCACCGGCCTTTCTTCTTTTGACCTTTGCGTTGAAGTCGCATATGACAATGGTATATGTGAACTTCGGGACCAAAACTTGTTCCAATTCTTGATTGAATTCTTGCACTTAATTCTCTTCAGCTGTACTTGTGGGAGCTTTGAGGGAGTCTTTGACGATCTTTGAGGTCTTCTTGTTCAGGTTGAGGCACAGAACGCCCAGTCTCGGTGACTTCACATTGCAGAAGACAATTTTGAAGGACATGGTTTCTGCTGATCGGAAATCGCATTCTTCCTATTCTCTTCGTGTCCTCTCCTCTTCCTAGACAAACTGAACTATCGTCTCTCCAGATGCCATTCATATCCTTCCACCATAATGTGTTGCAGAGACTAGGAATGTCGCAGGATATCATTGGATTTCTCTCCGTTAGTCCGTTTAACGTTTCTGGCCCTCGCCGGTGTTCTATACTTGTAGGTTTCAATGGCGAGGAAAGTCCGGATTCGTTTACCAGAAGGATGCCTATAACGTGAGATTTTTAGTATGTTTCGTTTCAGTCGAACAGAGAACCGCCTCCGTGGAGCGGATCGAAAAATGCGAAATGGCCATTTCTTCCTGCTGTATGCATCAAGATATCAAACAAAATATACATCGATTTATCTTACTATATTACGGTTTTCGTCATAACGAAACTTCTATTCAATAAACCTTAGCGTCGCATTTATATATACGTCTCATACCATGGATTAAAGAAAAAAACGCTACCCGCTGGCCATAAAAAGTTGTTGAAGCAGCATGGGGCAAGACCTATCTCTGCTTTGTATAATAGCTGATGTCGACAACATGGTAATTAAAAGTAGGAAAATGTTACTCCTTTACCCCGAATAAGATCCATGAGTTATGGACGAAAACCGGTAGTTGTTTACCATCGTGCAAACAAGCATTGTGAACATAAAATGCTGCCTGAGCTATCTTTCTGTTAATGTGATAGATCATTTTAAAGATGTAATTGTTTCTTAAATAAAGTTCTGTTACTAGAAGTCAAACATTTTATTTCTGTTGAAACGGGCTTACAGATATGAGTCAGATACTTATGGTGAAACTGAACTTTACCGTTAAGTAATTTCGTCCTATTTTTTGCGCACAACCTTTGGAGACCCTGAAAGACAGAAATGGCTGTGCGTAAATAATTTCAGCGCTAAATCTTTAGCATTCTTCTGTATATTTTGTGCATGAAGGTTGTTCATTTTGGTGATTGCAACTATATTGCTTAAATTAGTAGTAAAATTTATTTTGTATGGCTTAACGTTGTACAAGAAGCAGTTACAAGTTTTTCTCTACCAAAGTTGGCCATAATCTGAAAACAAGTTATCAGTAGCAGACTAAAGGCACATCGTGTCAGTAGACAAGAAACGAACAGATGACATATTTGCCAGTCGTTTTTCGAGAAAAAGGTTATCAAGGCCTGAAATGATCCTGGTCCAACTGTTCCAGTTTTTGTTCGACGCGGCTCTGACGTTTCTCCAACAACGACACGGTTTCTGTGATAAGGCTCAGCTGGTCAGCGATGTCAGACAACGCCGTCTTGATCTGGCCGGTGTTTTCTGGACTACGACGACCGCTTCTGGCGGTAGGACTTTGAGTTCTGGTAAAGCGCGTTGTCAGTTTTGGGGACTTTGGGAGCGGATTCGTTTGAGCTCTTCCACTCTCTTTCAATACATAAGGAATCGGTGCTCTATCTCTGTTAAACTCGAAAGCTTCTTCGTCCTAATTAATATAATTTAGAAACGCAGCTGCAGAAAGCTACACGTACAGCTGACTCGATGTCATCGGCTGCAGCACGGTTCCGTACCAAGGCAGCAGTGGTGTGTGAATTCGGTCGGTCGACACGCGTAAGATCCCCAAAGCGTGTCCTCCACATGAATATCTACAGCTGAGGTTAACACTGATTATTATTAAATCAAACAAAACCTTGCCGTTCATGTCGCCTGATACCAACTGTTCACCACTGGAGTCAAACTGTGCCTGTGATACAGATCCCTATAAAACATTAGTAGAACAAGGGTTCCCTGGATTTCAGCATGAAACAGAATTGCTGATAAGCTGAGAGTCTAAAGTCCGGAACTCTCAATTTTCTATGAATGATTTTTTATTTGAATTATATGCATACTCTGAAGTGAAAGCAATGAAATTAAACTAGACAAAAATATCAGGCTGAGGTAAACCCTTAGTAGACAGTCAGCATTACTGACTTGTATTATGTTGTGTTAGCCTTCGCTGACTTAGTCAACTATCGGATGAGTGAAGGCGAAATGCAGTGAAATGCTACACAGATCAGGCAGCATGGCCATAAATCTCGCGAGCTATGGCAGACCTCAAAGGAACATTATGCTATTCAAATTATTTGCATATCATCGACAAGATTGTTTGTTTTTAGTCTGACTGCAGTAAAACAAAGTGAAGTATTTCCTTGATCAGCCAAAATCATTACCCGCATTGGTTCGAGCCGGTATCGCTGGAGTGTAGAGTAAAACGAATCTACTGCAATGTACCCTTCCCAGCACTGCAGAAAATCGGCGAAATACACAAGTTGTTGCGTAAATGTGAAAGAGCTACAGCGTCCTTTTATATGGCGACTAAATCGGTGATTAGCACATTTTCATATTTCTTACGGTCAATCTCAGTGTATACGATTAATTCCATAGATTACTGATGAGAAGAAAGCAAACGAAAAATGCCAAATCAACTCTGCAGCGGTATGAAACAGATCTCTAACACCTTAACAGAATCTGCAGCGACAAGAACTTCAAGTTTCAACTCTTATCTCATGCTGGGTAAGATGGATGACCACGGAGGGGCGCGAACGAAAGTTACAAACGAAGCAATGTGTAAATAAACAAAGCCACGTCAAGTACTAATTTCAAAAAGGCTTTCGAAATCATGAAGCACCGGAACGACATGTCTCCTGATGGTCATCAGCGTATCCCGGCTTCATCACAAAAAAGGAACTGTCTGAAGGGGCACGTAAACGAAGCACTAATCTTTCATTTCTATGAAAATTTTAACTGCGCGACAACAGATACGAAGCTTGAGCAAATTGGACCACGACAGCCTCGCTTTGCCTGTCACTAAAAAGCTACTAAAGCAGCAACATGGATCAACGGCCCATCTTTCGACTGCCTAAGAGAATCACGTCTTCATCCACAGTTTACCAACTAACCATCTTACCTTTAAGAAGACCCGTAAGATATAGGCTGACACGTCGGTTTCTGATTAACCCAATAGATCATAAATTAGCGTCATGCATTAATAAATCGTATTTCGTGACTCGAAGTGTATGGAAGGACTCAGGTTATCACCTGTCGAAGCTCAAATATTAGCACAGGATGAGGAGAAACGTGGGAGATACTATCTGATACGTCTGGCTCCGCTACCCAAAAAAATAAACGGTCATACAAACTGAGAGACAGACGGGCAGATTGACTAACTGATTATCAACACACGAAAAGAATATTAAGTTCACATAAGAAGCAAGAAAGATCTGGAAAATACCTAAATTAAGGCATCAAAACCTGATCAAAAATGAATGTTAGCTGGATAGTGAACTTTCGAAAAATTCGGAGAAATATCTTGCGCAGATTGCCTTTATCTTTTTCGACGGAGGAAGAATTATTTCATTTGTCAGTAAGAGACCAGTATGAGTTGAAATGGGGTAAATTGCACAACAAATTAAAGAATCTACACAGACTTATCGAAGAAATATGACGATCACCAAATCAGAGAAAATGTGCATAAAGATCAAATAAAAGTTAAAATGGACTCACTTTTAATGAGTTTTAATAGCTAGAAGGCCTTTCGTTGTTAGAGGTACAAAGGTTGTCACTGACAAGAAATGTCTTGATACTGAAACCATTCTTCGGTCGTAAACCATGTTGTCTATCATCAGTTCACTTACATACACACACAATCTATGACCTGATGAGAGTAAATGCGGTTATTTTCCTAAAAATCGGTATGAATTTTTGTCAATGCGTCATCCTTGTCTCTATAACTAGTGAGTTAGACAACTTTCTGTTTAGAAAACTATGTACTTCAGAGACTGACATTGAATTGGGATGAATCTTAAAACATCGATTAAGGTTTGTACTTAGTAAATATCTTTCTTGTATCCACTTCCAAATGAGGACTAACAAAGTATATCGTTGTAAAATTACATCAAGCTAGCAAGAAAACCCTAACTCGGGGTGAGAAATTGTAGCTGGGATGTTGGAAGCCTTTGAAGACCTAGCTTTAGAATTTTCTAGAACTGACAACAAATCAGCCAGTTGGTGGAAAGCCCTGAGTTGGAATGCACTATAAAGAAGACGTCATCCGAGCATTTAAGAAAAACCGGAGATGATGAAACTGAACACTGCAGAGCATTACGGAAATCACCTGAATTTCGTACAGTTCCAAATTTTGGACAGCTGCATTTTAATCACTTTACCTGAACAAGCTCCCAGCTGACAACAACAAACCGTACCTGATGTCCATGCAAAGTATAGACGATTCTGCCTTCGACCAGGTCGTACAGTTTAACCGTCTTGTCCGCAGACGAACTAGCCAAAAAGTGACCTGCCGGTTGGAAGTGGATATTCAGTGCTGCCAAAGAATGTTCTGGAAATACGTACTGTCAGTAAAGGGTTAAGCATTCGCAAACACACCAGGTACAGAATTCTTTTTACAAAAATGACTACTGATGAATAAAATCATAACAGAAACTGTTATCTAGCAGATAATTCTCTTATCAAGAAGCACTCTTCAAAAAAGCAACGTGTAGGCGGCCAAAGGGCAAACACGAGGCTAGATGACTTAATTATACTGAACATTTTACAGCAATGAGACGGAATTAAACCCACCGGGTCAGTTTGATTAGCTGAGGACCAGAACTTTTAAAATAATGCAACTGAACCTGATACAATTACGACTGGAAAGGAATTGGGCGCTGTGAAAATGAATGAAAGATTGGAAAGATAATTTTTTAACTCAAGGAAAAAACCATCAAAGAAAAAAGATGTAACAAAAGAGGTATTCATTACATCAGCCCTTCGTCAGAGCAAGCATACCATCTCATGTGATACATAACAAAGTTAGTATTATTCTCAGAACATGTGACAGAATCAGATTTTGCATTTGGTTACTTTTTATATCACAAAAACGATTATCCATTCCCTCGCAAGGAAACAGCACTAGGAGATTTGGTCGCAGGATCAAAACAGAAACGAAGGTCATCATATCGTGAAGATCATGCAAGGCTGGATGGCGTGACACAAAATTGAATATCTACCGTCTGAACAGATAAAGAGGCTTATCAGACTGAGTGATCGACGGAGTAATTCAGATTCTTGAACAAGTGATTTACCACCTCAGAAATAGAAGGACCATGATAAAAGTCGTTTTCCTTATCCTAAAACTTAAAAGTAACTTCTTAAGCGATAGCACACCCACAACTCACCGACCTGACAAGTAAGATTTGCTGTTAACAAAAGAATGATAAAGATGAAGTTCAATGATGGTCGATGTTCATTTGGATAAAACATGCCTGTTTCCTAAAGATAGACTTTGTGCTGTCGACTATGTCGCTAGTTATGGAAAATAGAAGACGTATATGCTCATCTATGACATGATACTGGAGTGTTTTAGACAATGAAACTTTTTATTTAAAAATGCTTCCTCAAAAATATGAAGAAACACTGTAAAACAGAGAAATGACACTATTGAATCGCTGCTAAACCATGAGAGAGACTTACCACTTCTACATTAGATGCATATTTTAATGCTATGGCCACGTTCTGAACTTTTGTCGCCCTATTTCTAAATGTTACTCATTCCCAAACCTGCAGCTCTCCTTGTAAATAACTTAAACAAATAATCTAAACAACGCAATAGCAGACGAATATATGGTTTCTGATTTATCTTACACATAATGGCATTATATTTTACCATTCTACTGTATTATGACACCATGCTGTCATACTTTAACCTATCTATTCTCTATCCCTTTATGAGATACAAGACAATGCCAGCTCTATCTACGATTGCAGAAAGATACTCCTGAATTGGACATCAGCGTAGTGATCGCTTTTTAGTCAGGGTATTGTATGATGTTGTAGTGTGCATAGGCTAATGATACTGAACTGGGTCCTTGAATATTTTACCATATGAGCTGCAAATTGAACATGCATTAAGTGACCAAAGAAAGGATGTCACTTTCTCGCAGAGCTACAGAATAGACGCGTAGCCGTGACTGTCACAAATTTAAACTGTTATTATGTCACATGTTTCAGGCTGTGTTGTCTATCACCTGACCATTTAATAACGCTTTTGGATCGTTGCCCCATCCATGAGATTGACGTGACCTGAAACTTTTAGGAGTTGACAGAGAACACTTCAGTAGGCCTTGAATTGATTTGGGATAATATACTTCATACTGCAAGCTCTCTAACATGGGTTGGCAAATTTAATTTCAGAGTTTAAAACTAAGTTTGTTCGATCGTCCATAAACATTATACCTTTGTACAACTGAACTAGTCGCATCATTCGCAAATCCCATATTCGAATAGAGCCATCAGTTGCGCACGATGCAACGTAGCAACCACCGGGATGGAATTCGACGCAAAGAGTGGCGCAGGTGTTGCCACGAAATGTATGAATATTCGTCTGATAGGTTGTGTCCCAAAGTTTCACAAGACAGTCATCAGAGCACGACGCAAGTAAGCGAGCGTCATCAGAAAATCTATTAACAACGGAATAGGTATATAGTATACATCAATTTAATATTCATAAAGTAAACATACGGTTATCATAAAATGAAAACAGACCAATATACACCGTTAGTGACGGTCCCTTGCCCCTAGTTAAATAGGGGTCATAATTACATGGCATCTGAGCACCTGTAGCAAACTGATGCACCTCCATCATATCACTGGTCAAAGCAATGCGTATTCACCACCAATAATGTTTCATTGTAATTCTTTTTAGGTATTTCTTATTTTCCCTCTGTTTGCTGCTCAACAAATTGCTGAAATGCAGTTTTCTGAAGTTTTGTGGAAACAATAACAGATACAGTGTTGGAAAGCCTATTTACTACGTTTTCCTGCATTTATTTATAATTAGTTTATAAACACGAATTTGCACACCTACTCAATTGTCTGCCCATAAAGCGATCTACGTACCACTTTGCATATTCATTCTTTCGTTAATTCACCGGCTGTCATGTTTATTTTCTTACTTCACTGAATCACATATTTGCACATACATCTAAATGCTTACACAATTACCAACCTACGCATCTACATTTACTTGTTTATATACTTAATTATGCACACACATAAAAACATGCTTATACACCACCGTAACTCATTTACTTAATTACGTAAATTCCATTTATTCATCTAGCATATACTTATAAATCCATTTAAGTAATGATTCACCTACTTAATTATTACAAGATACTCCCTGGTCGATCTAATTAGTAACAATTCCATAAAACTGCTTAATACTTATGTATTCACCTACTGGTTGGCACATGTTATATGGTCACTTATTTTACCAAGTATCTACTAAATTAGATAGTTAAGCATACATACCAACTTACTACATACATGTGCACTTACTCACGGAAAGACCATACTGACTATTTAGTATATTAGATACTTGCATTTTTAATAACGCACTGACATGCCTGTCTAACAACTTATTTATTTCATAACGTAATTACTGTATTGAAACTCATAATTACCTCACTATTTATCTGTTTATTTACTCTGCCTCCTCGATCGTTTCCTTATTCAATTACTTATCTGTTAAATTACGCATCAACATACCCAACAGCCAAGTTATTTACTTACATACTTACTTTATGGGTGGTCCGTTTTTTGCTGCGAATCGTTTATATACTGTACATATCAAACTATTGATCTCCTTATTCTCTAACTTACGTATTTACATGCATACACATACTCATCTTCGATTAAAATACCCTTCTACTTGCGTATTTACTTACTGTCTGCCTCATGTTACCCATGACGGCAGTAACATGAAACATTTCAATTATCACGTCAGCTCTTTACAAAAAGAATGCCGTTACATCGCTCTTAAAACATCAGTCAGCTCGCGTGATAAGTTATCGTGCGTAGACTGATCGCAGTTTAACAAATTTCAAATTAAACATTGCCTGCTTATTGTTGCAGTGAAAGTTTATGCCTTAGTTAAATCATGAAAATGCTCAAATAACTGGGGAACACAAGATGATAATAATAAAACTATTCCCTGCTCCTCTGTTTTGCGACCAATTGCCCTAATTATTATATACCCCTAGCACATTAAAACTGGTTTAAATAAATTAAGGTTAAATATAATATTAAAACATCGGCAGAATATCGTGAGGTACTCAAATGTGGAGAGAATATGTTAATAACAAAATAAAAACCACACACCAAAGGAAGTTAATTGCATACATGAAATAATAAAATTCTACCTGATCCACCTAACCCAATTTTTATGTCCAGTAAGGGAGTAGTCAAACGATGCCTGTTGGTGGTCAATGCTCCAAACCTGTGACAAAATGTTTGCAAGTGTCAATCAAGAAAACCATCGCTAACCTTAATTGATTTGTCGTTTGAGCATGTTGCGATGTTGTGTCCATCTGCGGTAAAGTCAATGCAGCGAACGGTAGCCTGATGAGCACGAACGCACCAACATTTTGACCGTCTAAAAAAATAATATTTAACATGTGATACGCAAACATACTAGCTAAAAACAACTAATAAAAAAGTCATTAACTTCGACACGTCATGTCACCATACCACGCACTACAACTGGTTAAAACGAGATTGCACTCTACTTGCTCCATCAATAAAAATAATTTAATTGTTGGCTGAATATTTAAATGCTGTGCATTCTCCGCTCCGCTCCTAAAAATATGTTCGTCACTGCGGTTACTTTCAGTTGAGCATAGGTTTAATTACCGTATTCAAAGGGCTTGTTTAGACGAATCGC